ACAAGAGCAGCTTCATTTCTTTCTAATACAGTAGATATAAAACCACCTTCACAATCTTTTTATGAGTGTCCTTTGCTCTCAACTCTGCTCCAAAGCTACATTGTTTTCAGTAGTTTCACACAAGCTTCAGCTATTTCGTTTGGGGATTATGTGGCTCTAGTTCAAAAAGGAATAATGTGGTATCTCCTCATATATCAAAAAAATAGCTAAAGAAAATCTCAGCTGAAGCTACTAGCCCTGGAAGGGGTTGAGCAGCCACTTGCAAAACAGATATATGAGCAGAGAGGGTCTCCATGGGAACAATGTGGTGACCCAGAAGACCTGGGCAAAATGGGAAGGGGGGGATGTATGGAGCTGGAATAGTCTGGTTTTGTTTATCTCATGCTAGAGTAAAAGTTCACATACTAAAAAGCAGTGCAGGTTTCTATAAAGAAGTAACAAAAAGCCATCTGTGGTCTGGCATTTTCGCTAGTTTCAAGGTGCCAAAAAGGAAAGTGATCTAAGAGAAAGGGCTGATATCTCACCTCTGCCTATGAAGAAATTGTCTGAAGATACCTCGTGTTTCTCAAAGCTAGTATGAAATAGTTCCCTTTTTGCTTCTTGTTCTTTGATACTTTTTTTATCCCATAGTACAAGCTGACAGGCTCTGGACATCAGCTGCTTCCTGCACACGCAGCATTTCTGCACATCACACAAACTTCTTTTTAAACTCTACCTGCTGCTAGTCTGTGCTAAAGCTAAGTCTTGATAAATCCTTTCATTTAAAACACTAGACTGTGTACAATTTTCATTTAATCCTCTGCCAAGGCTTATCTATTATTCTCCTGGCTACTTTACATACATTTATTTCCCTTTCATCTTTTTAAGTTATGCCTTAATTTTCTTACAGCAACTTGACTAGGACTTCTTTTCTTCTCCCACCTCAGGCCTCTGAGTTTGTCCCCTCCTGTCCCTTATGCCAGCTGGCAGCAGAGCTGAACTCATTGCACATTCACAGCTGCACATACTCTGCTGTGAACACCTGATTTCTCCTGTACCTTCTTTCATAGGTGTTCACAAACAATCTCACTTGATTACAGCTAAGTTCCTTGGTAGATGTCCTTCTTATAACTTAAGAAACTGAGAAAAGAGGAGAGGGGGGGGAAGAGAAAACAAAAAAACCATAACTTATCTGGGTCCCAGAAAGCTAGTCAAGCAATATTTTAGTATTAGTAGGTCACCTTAGTGCTCTGTGTGTCTTGGAAACCTCCTCTCCACAATATTAACTGCATTTACATGGGAACTTGGTGGCACAGGATCAGCCTGCACTGGCCAAACCATTTCAGAAGGGATTTCACAGCTCTGCTCTGTCCTAGTCTTTTTTTATTTGAAACCTTCCCATAGAGAAACTACTCCAGCACAATTAGCCAAAAATGTATTGCATTGTGATATATGGAGCAGGTATTAAAAAAGCTATTTGAGTATTAGAAGAGACTTCAAAGGAGGTGAGATCATGAGAAAATAGGGATATATTAGACCCATTTATGTCACATTGGTTCAATTTTATGGCACTAGGAAGAAAGACAGGGGACTAGCAAAGGACTGCCCAGCATACTTGGGTACAGATGTTAATTAGGATGGTTACAACATATAACTTTCAGACTCATGGCCCTTGCAGTGAATTAGAGAACTGTGCCTAACTAATCCAGGGAGTGAAGGTCAGTGTATGCAGTGACACAAAACAAGAAGGAGATATATGAGTCTGTATACTGTCCATAACCTTCACCTGCCAACCAGGATCAAACCTCTATCCTGGCCATAAATCCAGTTCCAAGCTGGTGAATTATCAGCTTTAAGAACTCTTGTAGGAAGCTTGCATATCCATAAAGGAGTAGGATTTCTGCTGCCTGTTGTCTGCTGGGATGTGACATTACTGAAGAACATTGGGTTTGGATTGGGTGGGTTTACAGTCAGGCTGCCGTGACCTCTATCTGCAGAGTCAAAGCCCAAAGCAGTTTGTGTCCCCCAGCTGCTGGTAGCAAGGCTAGCAAACCAATTCATCACTCTTTCTCAAGTTGCATTTTAAAAGAAAGGAGCAACAGGTAAGTGTTTTGTTGTCCAGGGGCCGGGCTCTGGATGGAAGTGGGGAGCATCTGGGGGAGGAACCCGGAAGGAGATATATGAGTCTGTATACTGTCCATAACCTTCACCTGCCAACCAGGATCAAACCTCTATCCTGGCCATAAATCCAGTTCCAAGCTGGTGAATTATCAGCTTTAAGAACTCTTGTAGGAAGCTTGCATATCCATAAAGGAGTAGGATTTCTGCTGCCTGTTGTCTGCTGGGATGTGACATTACTGAAGAACATTGGGTTTGGATTGGGTGGGTTTACAGTCAGGCTGCCGTGACCTCTATCTGCAGAGTCAAAGCCCAAAGCAGTTTGTGTCCCCCAGCTGCTGGTAGCAAGGCTAGCAAACCAATTCATCACTCTTTCTCAAGTTGCATTTTAAAAGAAAGGAGCAACAGGTAAGTGTTTTGTTGTCCAGGGGCCGGGCTCTGGATGGAAGTGGGGAGCATCTGGGGGAGGAACCCGGTTGGTGAAGCCATGCACGGCTACAGCGTGAGCACATATTGGCTTGCACTGCTTTCATTAGCAAGTCTGGGCATGGACAAAAGATCACTCATGAAATCAGGGGAAGTTAAAACAAAATGCCTAAATGCCTTTGGTGATGGGCAGTAGCTGCTCTTGGGGGATTAAAATTAAAATTTTGGATTGAGCTGTTTAATTTTCAGTAAGTGCCTCAGCCCTTTCTGCCCCAGCCTCAGGCACTTGGCAAACCTTCTGGGTCTGCCTCTCCGAATGGTCTGAAGATACATTTTCATATTAAACCACAACACATTGTTTCAGTCTAAAAATAACTACCTAGTCAATAGCTTGCAGAAAATACGAAGGATGAGGCAAATTAAAGAATTCTATGTAGGTGGGTAAAGTGACTTGCATAATATTGGCCGTGAAGTAAAAACAACATTTCAGGCAGTTAAAACGACAAAAGAATATCAGTTGGGTTGAAATATAATTACTCACTTACGTGTGGGCTGAGATGCAAAGAAACAGAAGTGTTTGGTGCTTCTCTTTCTGAGGGAAGTTTTCTGGCCACTGGGTGTCATCCTTGACTCAGATGACAGCCATGAGCTTTTCAACTACAACATTAAACCCACAACTTCCCGAGCAGTTAAATTCCACTCTATTCGATTGTACAACAGACAGCAAATAGCTCTGCATTTAAATCAGCTATAAAATTGAATACTTTGACATAGACAAATTCTCCTTTGTCTCACTGCTTTATTTGGAGACCTGAGATGGCTGGTTGATGTAGAAAAGAAAGAAAAGGAATGCAACCAGAGCATATTAACTACAAACAATTTGATGAGAGATTATCAAATCTCAGGAAATAAGAAATAACTATGATCAAATAATGCAAAGGGTCTATGCAGGAAGCTTGAAATTGTAACCTTAATTGGGGCCCAGGCCAAAAAAAATCCCACTTATAGGCAATTTTATTTAGAGACATCCAGTATCCAATTTTAGTACACAAAGTAATGACTATGTATGAAGAAACATTCAGCAAAAACTAATTTAAGCTTTTACCTACAATTCTAAGCTAGTACCCTCACAGAAGTTTCAGAATTTCAGCAAGGAGGCCAAAAGAGTCAAAGTCCTTGAGCTTTTATTAATTCATTCCAGTGCTACTCTTTGATTTCTATCTGGCCCACGTATTTTCACTGCTCAGCACCTTCCCAGTTCCCTACAGTTGCAGCCCAGAGGTTTGACCATAACAGCAATACCTGCACCTGGATAACAGGGAAGCAGGAAAATCCTTTCCAGAAGAAATATCCTGGTATTTGGAATATTTTCTTAGCATTCACATGTGAGGATCAAATCTGCTCACAACAGGTCATATGTCATCCTAATGAGTTTTCTGTTATGGGTGGCTGAGAAGAACTTATCAGTGTTATTTTGTTATCTCCAGGGAGTCTAGACAGTCTGAAACCAGCACATAGTGCAGCAAAGCTGCTTATTATAATGTTATTTCTCTCTGAAACCTGATTTAGGTTGCCTTCTTCAAGCTAAAATAAAAGCAAGTGCCAGCAATTTCTCCAAGCACAGCTAGAAAGAAACATTTACATTTGTCAGTGCATTAAAAGTATTAATCCTACTGCTCTTAATGTACATACATAGAACAGTCATAGAACATTTCAAGTAACATTTGGTTTCTTGGTTTTTTGATGTGTTTGTTTTTTGTTTTTTTTAATGCAACTAACCTAAGTTGATAGAACAGCTTTTCATGGATTACACAGTCTTTGAGAACAGATCTCCATGTAATACTTCCTAGCTTTACCAGTGGATATAAATTTAATGAAAATATGCCAGTATTAAAGAGCTATTAGACACAGGGCTGAAATTGTCTTTCATTTTGTTCAACAGCCAAAGACTTCAATTATTTAAATAAATCAATTTTTAAAGGAAGATGTTAAATATTCTCTTTATATGATACAGTCTCACAAGCATGATTTAGGTTTCTTGTTTTTAATATTATAAGCTTTCTCTTTTGTAATTCTGTTTAGATTAGAACTGATAGCAGACTTCAAGGAAGAAATACATTTAAGATGTGTAGCATATACATTAACAATTTCAAAATTTACTAAGATTAACATTGTTAACATTGTTAGCAGCTGAGGTAACAAAGTCAGGTAACAAAATTATCTAAACTTGTACTAACCTTTTCATTGATGCGAAAAGTCAGTAACAGATGCCCAATGAGGATTTTTTGAAGCAAGGAATTACTTCTCCATCTATATATATATACATGTATATATACACACCTACATGTATATACAGCTACAGAGTTCCATAGTCAATGACTAGGAATCTATACACATTCAGATGTCAACTCAAAGGGAAGATATTTTCCCATTTAAACCTCACAGAACCTTTTCTTTGGGTATAGAAATATACTTACACTGGTTTAATACTCTGGGAATGCTTCTCATGAATGTAGGCACCAGCCAGGCCTCCTGCTCCAGAATTTAAATACTGCAAAGAATAAATCAACATGTACATGTCATGTTCATTATCTGTAAAGTGTAGCTTTCCTTCCCTCACCCCACTCTATACAGCAGACCAATTTTAACATTTCTAGTGCTTTCTAACTGCAGATTCTAGCATTAGGACCAAAGTGCTAATGTAGATAAAAACAGATATATTTTTCCAGATTAATTCTAAAAGTATCTTTCTTGGCTTAAGTATGATATTTGAAGTCTAACAGACAAAAGGCTAGAAAATTGAAGTATGACTGAAACAGTCCCATGTCATAATACATAGAGCAAAATCATCAGACAGCACAGCTGACTGTATCTGTCAGATCTTCAACTCTAGAGAAGTCAAATGAAAGATAAATTATTTCTGATCATAGAAAAAGTGAAGTTCAGAGAAGAATATTCTCAGGCCACTTAAGAAAATCCAATAGCCTCAAGGCCTTCTCAGTGTGGAAAATAAGAGATGAGGCTCTGAAACTGTGACCACAGAGTGTACTTCAGAGCAGTTGTTTAAGCACCACTGGCATCTATCTCACTTTGCAGGTCATTGTCACTATTTTCTTTTGGAAATTTTTGTAACAAGCCAACACTGAAGTCAGTGTCCACCTCCTTGTGGTTGGTTCAAAGATTCAGCTAAGTCTTGATTCAACAGTTCAGGTGTAGTTCTTACTCATCTGACCTGTTTGCTGACCCACCACATAAGTGACATTATGGAAAATAGTCTCAAGCAATGAATCTGTGTTACCTTGTAGGAGCACCAGCATGCAAAATCTACTCCCCAGTCATGCAAATGAAGCTCTACATTCCCAACAGCATGAGCCAGGTCAAATCCAACAAAGCAACCCTGCAGGAAAGAGACAAAAGAAGTCATAATCATGACTATATATTTATTTTGAAAAAAAAAACAAAAAAAAAACACAACACAAAACATCTTTAGAGCTTTACTTGTTCTCTCTAGGCATGATACCAAGTCCCATCTTTTGTTACTAAAAACCTGTTTTCTATCTCATAGATACATGCAGAAATAATTTTGGGTGGGGTTGCCTTCAGGGATGCTTGGGTATAGTTTAGATTCCTAAGGTGTTTCTCCTACAGCAAAGTGGAATCACTTGAAATAGGCATTGAGAACAAATGCATCATTTCAAATTGTTGTACAGCATGATAGGGTCCAGGCAGAGATAAAATAGTAGTGTACATAATTATATGATACATCAATAGATATATTTCAATATTTACTTATACTTCAAGATCTCCTTGGTATTTAAACTATGAGAATCTTGCACCTTGGGAATCCAAACACATGAAACAGAAGCCTGTGCAACACAGTGGTCTTTAAGGACTTTTATACTTGGCTCCTCAAAATTAGGAAAGCATTCTGTCATTTTGCTGTGAAACGTGTTGTATTTGTCATAACCACAACTGGTAGAGGACACTGGGAAAAAAAAAAAAAAAAGTAAGGGCACAATGTATGGATCAGAAAGTAACAGGTTTACACACAAAATAACCACTGGATGGCAGCATTTTTAAACCAAAAAGTTCTTCCAAGCTTTGCTATTTTTTTTAAGCACAGAAATAAAACTACTTTTTTTTTTTTTTTTTTTTTTCCTGGACTACAGATTTCATGCTATTTTGCATTTTGCTTTTAAAACACAAACAGCTTGCATACAAGCAGCATGGTAGGAAGAAGAGTGAGAGCACAGGCTTCAGAAAAATCAACATTCAATAATAAAACAAAGGGTTTTTTTAAGAGTCTCTTGCTGTTTCTTGCACAAAAGGAGACTTAGCTAAATTACTGTAACAGTACTTTGGTATATTTAATCTTCTGTATAAACTAGATATCAATTTGAATGAAGCAGCATTTTAAGATTTGACTAAGGCCTCCATTAGAATTACTGTGTCTGGAGATGTTGCTCCATAATGATGGGAAGAAAACTCTGCCATAGAGAGCATTTGCTCTTAAACAGAACCAACGTTCCAATAACCAATCTAGCCTTCACACCCTCAGTTGTCTTCACAGGGACACTCAAAAGTTGAGTGAAGACATACCAACTGGCATGCTGAAGCTACTGCAGAGGAACTGAAGCACACTGAATGCCCGTGGGAACGCCCTCATGCAGAGAGAAAACAGCTTTGGTGCAGAGAAATAAGCTACAGCAAACTAAAGCAAATCTGCTATAAAACAATAAGGTTTTCTGAGGGTTTTAGGGTATTAACATCAAAACTTCAGTTGACTGGCTTTAAACACTAACATGCATCCCTTCTTATATATGTCCCACACAAACTTTTTTTTTTAAGAAGTGCTCTAAGAGATTCACTGGTTGCAGTGGAAACCAGGAATACCGTGATACGCTGAGAGTCTTCCCAACTCTATGTGTCTGGCCATACATTAACAAAATCAAAACAAAGACAACAGTGGTGGTTGCTCATAAAAAAAAGCTCATAAGAAATGTAATTCTGTGGTGAGTCTTGTGTTAAAATCAGTTGTCCTTTCCCTGTCAGTAAGTGACAAACTCTATAAAAAGGTAAGTTCAAACACAGATGAAAAAACACAACTAGACAGCAGATGGGATGTAGGACAAGATTCCTTAGGATACCAGCAGGTTGGATGACCTCCCAGTAGTGAGGCTCCCCAGCCATATCTATACCTGTACCCTCAACTCACACAAACCTCCTTGGGCACTGATCCCAGCTGGAGTAGATCAACTTTCATCCACATCATGGGCTGATAGTTCAAAAACAGGGCGACCACGGACACATCACCCATGGGTGACCTTCCTGAACTGCTCCCCACTCCTTTGAAATGGGTTGGTAAACCCCACAGTGTGTTATTTAAGTAACAAACGAGGCACAGCCTGAAAATGTGGGTTCAGTGCTGGCAGGTTTCCTGCAGCATCTCAGAAACACCCACTCGTACCAGTTTGTTCAAGTTGTCATCTGCAGGACGGGTGGCGCGGGTTGGCTTTCCCGGGGGAGGCGTCTGGCACTCGAGTTGCACAAACAGCAAATGTTTAGCCACACAGATTGCAGGGGAAAAAAAGTAAAACAAACTGAAGCAGTTCTCCCTGAGGAAGCCACGCAGAACAAGGACTGCGTGGGAACGTCGCTTCCCCAGGCTAAGGGGAAAACAGAGCTCTCCATCTGCTCCGGGCAAAGAAGAGGACATGTGTTCTCCCCTGCCTCTTCCGCTTTATTCTAACATCTAAAAGTCATTTCTGCAAAGTGTCTGGGTAGCTGCTGATAACCAGCAGGTAACTACTCAGCATGGACAATGACATTTGGAGAGAGGGAGAGAAATGACAGCTTCACACCAGCAAAGCTGGGACAGTCAGAAAGAAAGACAGGAAAAGAAATTAAGATGAAGGATCTTAAAGCCCTTCCTACCGGGACTCCAGAGATTAAAATACTTTACATACAGCACAAAGTCAGTGGAAAGTACAATATAACTTATGAAATGAAAATTGTATTTGAAAGCTAGAGTCTCCAAAAAGTCAGCCATTTCTTGGCTTGTGGATGAAGAAAATGACTCAACCCCCTCCATCCTCTAGAGTAGCTTCAAAAGTATGAAATGAGGAAAACTGTTACATCCTCTCCAGCCTGCTGATGAGTCTCTTGCACAATACGTAGTAATTTTGATTTGTCTGAGAGACCCAAGATGGAAAAATAGCCTGAGGTAATTTTTCAAGCTTAATTTAGTTCATTTAATATTTAATGACTTAATGAAGCTGTCTATGTGCAGAGCTTTCGCTCTGGGAGGAATCTTAACATACGTAGAGAACTTAGGAAATTGGCTTAAAAAATGTAAAAGGAAATCAGTAACGTAATTCATAAATGATTGACCTCAAGAATCCTAGGACATTTTCCAGACCTCCTGAGCTTGCAGCTCAAATCTCTAACTAAGCCCTGATAGGGCACAACACTTCAGGAATTTATTTCCATTGCATGTCAAAAGAATAATTAAGACCATCTGTGTAGGATTTTTCTCTGCTACAATGGCTGACAAGCGATTTGGGTTTGTTTTTTTTCTTCCATTTCTCAAATTTCCACCTTGTATTTTTCCCCTTCTGACTTTCTTGCTTGTCAGATCTCCCCAGCCTCTTTTCTGCCCAGGAGCATGGGGTCATTCATCACTAGGAAAAGGAACATTGCATTTTTACAATGAGCACAACTTCCTGGGCTTATCCTCTTTTAACAGACATTTTGAAGGACTTTGAGCCTTTCTGAGATAATATATTACGTGCAAGACAACCCTGGTGTCATCAAGTCCAGAAGCTCTTGAAGGACATATGGTCCTTAAGGCCATGATCTTACTGTCCTGAAAGCTTGTCACCCTGGGGACAGGGACAGGTTGGATGCCACCAAACAGAAATCAAGCCCATGCACATTACATAGGTGCTAACAATTGGTCATTTTTTTCTTCTCTAACCCAACAGCATCTCCTAACATCAAGCTGGGCCTGGCAACACAGGAGAGGAGCCAATTCCTTTTGAAGATTCAATATTTTTGGCTTTTTGAGACCAAGAGAAGTAGCAGGGTACAGGAGCACCTCTTAACAACATTAAGATAGCAAACTCATAATAAATCTCTGCTTTCATAGCTGATCAAGTAAATATTTGCCATATGCAGGCATTTATGTGTGGTGTAACAATATGTTACATAGTGGTTTTGTATAAACATCACTTAACCCAGGGGGTGGAATCAATAAGGACACTGACTTGAGTGTATCTGACAGCAGGGAAGTAAACACAGGGATGGCTCTTGCTTTTCAAGCCTTGTGGGTACTCAAGTAGGTCTTAAGGCTGAGCAACCTTTTTTTCTAATACACTGATGATATTTTAGGTCACCTGGATCCCAGTCCTTCATGCTCTCACCACAAAGAGGCTGGCAATTATTTTTTTTTCCCTTTTGAAATATTTCTGGAAGAAAGATTCACTTCTATGTTCTGGCATTTCTAACAGGCATGCAGGTAGAAATAGGTATTTGACATCTCTCTGTGACTGCTGCAGTCCTGAACTGCTGTCAGACTTGCTCTCCTCTTCAGTAACATGACAGTCTCTAGAACTGCGCAGTGTTTCTGTGTATCTCCACATGGAAGCACATACACTCGAGTTCATATTATTATTTGCATTGCCTTATAGAAATTTTCAGCTCTCTCCACCAAATCCTGATTATCTCCTCAGATAATATAAACATGAAATCCATTTTCACTCCATATCAGTGTCTATCAGTGGCTGCTTTTCCCCAGAACACAGGCTCTCAGCCACTTTGGGGTAGTTTATAGCTTTCAGTGAAATTGCATCACCTCACTCATCCAAGCGTGTGTCCTGCAGCCCAGAGAGCACCTTTAGAGAAGTAGTAAAGTGATGGGCTTTTCCCAGGTTGTTCATATTTACAGGAGAGAACATAGATTTCTCCCTCAGACACCTTTCAGACACATCACAGAGCAGATTTTAGGGAAGCAACATTGTAGGGACGTAGGTGTTGGTGGCTGAACAAAAGCTTAGCTGCCACCAGGAGTGAGAGCAAGCAGAGCAGTGGGTGGCTTCGCCCTGTTAATACCCCAGCTTCCCTTTCAAGCATTTCAGCATAACCTTCTGATTATTTGTGGGCAAAGTATTGGAAGACACTCACAGGGAAGGCACCATGAAGGTGCTGCTCTCAGAGCTATATGGAGCTAATACACAGACTCTTTCCCTCCTGCAGCTGACTCCCTCTCTATTTCTTTCTTCCTTGGCTTTCTGATTCCATGTCAGAAGCCAGTCTTGTTTTGTACTGTGCTCAGGACCAATTCTGTTGCCACGCACTTCTCTGTCAGAACATTCCCTTTTTAGATCCCACAGGCTGTGCACTAGCACTCACACCTGCTGTGCTCTCCCAGGAGAGATTTTACTATCCCTTTGCAGCAGCTTAACTTACTCCCTGACCTCCAGAAAAATTTCCACTGCCAAACCTACAGCAACAGAAGATGAATAGCCCGATGTGAGCCAGGAGCCTCTCCAGAGAGTTAAAACATCAAATATAAATAGTTAGCTGGTTTGCCACAATCCAGTGATAAGTTTATCCTTGAGTGATTTAATCTTACATGAGATAAGGTACACCCAGTAAAAGACTACCCCTGTGGAAAGTCTGGTGACCTCCTCTCGATAAGACGACTTAATTAAAAAATATTTTTACTTGGATTCCTGAGGCAATTGAGATGGTTAAAGAAGTTTTACAGCTCTGTCCACACAGCACACTGCCTGCAAGCTCTGAAGGCTGAGTCATCACTAAAATACAGACCTCTTGTGACTTTGACGTGCTCCATGTCCAGCCTGTCTCTGAAAAACTGATCAGCTGAGTCTGAAAACTGCTGACTCTGCAGGGAGCTCCCCTCCCTGCTCACCGAGGGCAAAAACTGCCACAGTGTGGCAGAGGAAAATCACTGAAGTCTGCCAAAACCCAGAAATCTAACTCAAACTAACTTTTAAAGCGAGATGGGAGCTATGATTACCTCCTCCTTCTCCATTGAACCTCTTGAAATTCTATCCTCCAAGAAAAGTCCTGTAGAAGTTAATAGTCACGAATTATCTCTCCACATAGTTGAAGTCACACCTGCCAGCTCGCTCTGGCAGGGCTATTTCCTCAGGCAGCTCTCAGAGGATCTCAGCACAGAGTGCTTTCCCTTTTTGTCAGAGCACCACAGGTTTCCACATGTGCTCTGGTTTGTTCCACAAAAGGCAGAAACCAAGAACATCTCTAAAGGAAAATTGAGCTGAAATAGGTGTTAAAAGGATGGGTCTGGGGCAATCCTACCTTTCTTTGGCCAGCCTTTGTTATTCGAGGGATGTCAAACAGCTGTCCCGTGTAGTACTGCACCCCACTGAACAGAATGACAGCAATAGAGTCCCCTTCCTTCTCAATAACAGCAAGGATATCTTCAGTCCTCAAGGTCTCCTCCCCCTAAAACAAAGTTAAATACACATTTTACATCAACTCTGGCAGTAATGAAACTGTCATTTCTTATTTCATTATCTATATTTTACCATGAGCTGCACTACCTGCATAAAGAGACCAAAAGCAAACCCTTAGCATGGTAATGACATCCAAAAAGGCAGAGCTATGAAGTAGCCTATGAGTAAGTTATATATATATTAAAAACAACAACAAACCACACAAAAACACAAAACATCCGCAAAGTTATCTTGAAGGTGCTAGTTACAAAAAGTCTATTCACTTCAGATTCTATCATGCTTATTATTTCAGACAGTCTTAATTTACAGCTAAAAAAATCCTGGTGCAAACAGCATATATAATTAATTTGATGTGGTATCTGAAATTTGTGACACCCACAAGAGTTGAAATTTGTCTATCAGTTTCACTCTGTACTTTTCTGATAAACTTTGTATCCCACAGGAAGCTATTATAAGCCTGCCATATTTATATTTCAAGAACAGTAAGCCTCACATCATCAAAGGTACAAAAATCCCCAAACCTAGGGTCATTAGATATAGAGGAATTTCAACCAAACATCCCCCTCTCCACATTCTTTATAGGAAAATTACTGCCTCATCCTCCTCCCATCTTCCTAGCAAGGCATCATGTAAAACATACCACCACCTAGGGATCAATTAGGCAGTGAAAACCCAGAATTAAATTAGCCTTGTTACTGAAAAGAGCTTGGGCAGGATTGTTGAATTGCAACCAACTGTTATTATCTCAACAATCTTTGCAAATCTATCAAGCGTTCAGGAGCAGGCTCTTTACTCACAAGATAACTCAGACTTTGGAAGCAAAAGGTCACCCTCAGTTTGTAGTTAGGTGGCAAAGTTCTTAATGCCACAAAGGTGAAGCAAGGCAGTCTTTCAAGTTAATCTGAATTGTCTGTTACTCAAAGCAGACCTTTCCCTTCATCTGTGCTGATACACGGGCTGCTGTTGTTCCTGTTCTGGCAATCTTTTAGCTTAGGACACTGAAAGGACATTAGGGTTTCTCCATGAGCTACAGCATTTTGCAGTTCTCTCAGGATGCTGTCAGGTTTTGCAGACAGGAAAAACAGTCAGAGTAACTTTTTTTTTCACTAGGTGAAAAAGACAATTTTAAAATGGGTCCTGATACCAAAAAAAATATACAGAAACAGAATATACAAGTCATAAATTGAACCTGAAAGCATTGGCAGCAATAGATTATAAAACTTCTGCAGGTGGACACTAGAACATTTGAGAATCTTTGACTCCTCTCCTATGCAATATACTTCTGCCCTTAGCAATAATGAGAGGTGACATGTTTCTCACCAACCTCCCGTGGCCGCATCAGGATCATGCATTTCTCCACATCAAGCCCATGAAGTCGAAGTTGGGACTCAACAGCATACTGGAAGAGATTTCCATGCAGAACATGTTAGAGCAACTACATGATAAAATAAATAAAAAAACCCTACAAAACATCAGGACTTCAGAAAAGGGACTCAGATGCCCACCTTTCACTAACACCCAAAAGCCTAATCCCACTCCACTGAGAACTTTCTAGATTTCCTTTAGTTTGAAAAAGATCAGAACTTAATTCACATCAGACAGCAAGGACAAAATCAAAACTGAAATCCTACAGGATAATTTCATGGAGCAGAATGAGGGTGGAAATGTGGTGGAGGGTGAGCTTTTCCAGACTTCAGCAAGCAAAGCCTGCATAGGTTACGACCACAGAGAAGACTGAACTTGGCCTCTTCCAGGAGCACCCACTCTGCTTGGTAGCACATGCTACATCCCAGGCTGCCACAAAGCCACTGCTGTCAGCACAAAAGAGGCTTGGCCAGCACACACATACTGTCCCATGCTATGTCATGGGATCTCAAAAAACCTTGGATTTGCTGCACTGCTGGGAGGAATTGAGAGCTCCAAATTCTCAGGCTATTTTGAAAATTCTACAGGCTGATTTTATAATTAAATAATGGCTCTAGAGATGGCATGAAAATCACTGAATAATACTATAAAATAGCTTAAAATTACATGACAGGAACTGAAGTGATGACAGTTGCACAGATTATTGCTGAAGTGCTGTAGAAATTTAAGATGGAATCCAAATGTAAATCTGGAACAAACTTGGGATTAGTATAAACATTACTTAGGGTACAGACAATTTGAGGTTTATACACACCTGTGCTGCCATCTTCATTACAAATAAACCTTTTAACAGCTTGAATTATTTTTATTGCACCTTAGAGATCAAATGTGTCATCAATTTCCATGAGTTTATGGAGTTGATGATAAAGTAGCAGTGGGTCACAAACCCAAAGATTAATTTGCTCTAAGCTGTGATGCACAGGCTATTGTCTTCAATTTTATAGCAGACAAATTATGTTTGAACTGATAATCTGAAGTGCTAATAACAAACATTTCCATCTCTGTCTGGGGATATACAAGTGGTAATGTTGTGAGTTTGTATTGATCTGATTTCATAAAGCAAAACAGCAACAAGAATTAATAAAACATTTACAACTTCAGTTGATTTAGGCCAGTGGTTTGCTCAATGTCTTTAAAAAGACTAATAAATCAATGTACCCATTCAATCTTTTCCTCTTATAATGGTTTTTGTTTTAACAAAAGGAATAAAGCTATGATCTGTAGAATGTGCTGAACTCAAAAGCTTCTGACAGATTTTTTTACTGTAATGCTACTTGGACAAGAAGTGCTAATAAATATTCAAATCAGGCTGCTGATATTCTTTAGAAAAAAATTATTAATAATACAAATTTGGTGAAATATTAATTTCTTACATGGTCAGAAGGAAAGGCTTTGGCTTCTAGAAGAATTTTATAACGTCTTGGAGTAGGCTTAAAGAAAGCTAGCTGTTAAGGAAAAAAAATACAAAAAGATATGTTGAAATGTATCTAAGTAGAGATGAGAGAGATACTCCCAGTATGTAACTTAATAAAGACTACTTTACTTTCATGCAGACTACAGAGAACCCCCCAGAAATTACAAATATTTCCTAGTCCATATAATAGTTATCAAAGTGGGAAAGAATTCTGATGTACTGTATTTTATACATCCATAACAAAAGCCACCAAAATCCAGCAGTGAAAACTTGCACTTACAGGTATCAATGACAAAGCTTTGACTGCAGCCAGGGAAGCTGGGATCTCACCCAGCTCCACCCTGCAAACAAAAGCAGTGGCTGAAGAGCAGCAAACAGTGCTAAGGAACCGGATTGCCATCCCTGCCCTAAAGCTATCAAATCATTCCCTTCACTGAAACAAGCCTGACCAAAGGACTAATCCTTCTGGAAGGACCTAATCTCAGCACCTTTAGGTTAATAGCCTTTCCTTCTCAGTTTCTCCCATAGAGGCAAGCTGGGCTTGCCACCATGCTGAGAGGACAAGGAGAAGACCTAGAAACCCTCCTGCTCATGCTAGCAGTAGTTGCTCAGAGCTCAGCATGGAATGTGTACTCATCAAGTTTGGCACAGGTCTGGCTGCCTTGCACCTATTTCAGGGCAGAGCTGCCAGGCAAATCAGCTTGGACTTAGCCCCATCCTATCCTGCTACAGGTTTCTCAGTTTCACAAAGGTCAGAGATATTTCCAGAGGCAAGGACCTGAGTGACAAATCTTTTTGTGCTAACCACACAAAATGAAGCTTCAGGTCTTCATTCAGTTGAACCACGTCTTTGATGACACTATAGAAACAGAGACGGGTTGTATGTAACAGCTGAGACCTGCTCAACAGAAGACAACATCAATGGCCACAATGTCATAGAAATCCAAATCTACTGCTTCACTGCATTTTAGGGGTATATAAAGCAGAATAACTCAAAGATGCCATGTCTTGCATGCAACTGCATTTTAAGTTTGACTGAAATTACAGCTTTGTCTTGCTCACAGTTGAGCTCTTGTTTCTTAAACTGTGAAGTTTGGTGTGAAATTCAAAACTGAGAAGTTATTTGGCAATGTTTCTTAAATAAGAACTCCTCTCTAAGGACTAACG